GCAAATGTTGCAAATATATTATAGATATAAATAATAACATCTTATCTATATGTAATATTATTTTTTATTTTTCCTATATAAAGCTCGCAACTTGGAGCTTCTAACAAACTATTTTCTTAATTATAAAAAACCTTTTTTAAAAGGTTTTCGATTCCGATTTCTCTCGCATATTTTTGTTTGTTTTTATTTTTCGTAAATTTAATATAAAATAACCGATCTTTTAATTCGTTAATTTTTTATTATTATAATTTGACAATAATTTGGCAACTTCAAACAATAATAATCTTTTACATCCATCCTTTACTATACCAATTTAAATTTAATTTATTATATATAAGAGGTAGCTTTTTTTGTTTTCAATATAAAAATTAAACAAGTCATGTGCCCAATGATGGTTGAATAATAATTAATGAGTAAATGAATGGATAATGAATGAATGAAATAATTAATTATCTACCACCATTCCTTGCCTATGTTTTTTCTTTTAATTGAAATCTTTATTTTTTGTGAATGCTATTTAATCTATTTTACAGCCATCCAATAATAAATATCTAATAATTTTATTAAAGCTCCTCACAAGCTGGCTTGTGAGCCAAATAACTTATTCAGCTTGCGAGCTGGCTCATGCGGAGCCTTAAATTTTATATATATACACACTAATTAAATTTTTTAAAAAAATAAAAAATAATTAAAAGAACTTAACAACTTGAAAAAAATCTCTATATTAACATTGTTATAATTAAAGTCTAATTTTATTCTCAACATTATCATTGTAATTAAAATAATTGTTTTTGTTATGTCTATATCTATTAAAGCTCCACACGAGCTGGCTTGCGAGCTGACTCATGTGGAGTCTTAATATCTATATCTATAAATTGTTCATCTAAATCTTGTCCTTTAGATCACACGTATATAATCATCACTGAGCATTACAGTAGCTTATCTATGACCAAGGACCTCTATATAGTATGTAATATAACATAAAAAAATTTCATATTACCTTTTTAAGTAGAACCAAATATAGTAAAATGACTTTTTTCTTTATGAATACGATCATAGATCCTGATGACATAGTCTTTGAATACAGTAGTAAATTTCATGTTACCAGAAGTAGCTGAAGATACCTGATCATATTCTTTTTTTAATTCCCAAAACCGTTTCTCTGAATCTATATTGCTCATTTGATTATGATCACCAATGTTGATCTCATCTTTATTTATTTCTTTATCATCAGATTCATATTGGTATGTTGGCTTGATGTTGAATACTCTTGGCAAAAATAATTCAAAAAAAGGTTTCAATGTAGTGACCTCATTTGATTTTCTTAACAATTGTAAATGGAAAGTTTCAAATGGTACATAATGCTTGCAATAGGCATATGTTGAAAGAATTTTTCGTATGCACTATTTCTAATTATAACTGTAATTTTTCTCTCAGGATGAAGTTGTATTTCTATGTCAATCCATATTTTTGACAAGATAATATCATGGAAACATAATTTTGTAATTAATGAATTTGCATTGAAATTTCTTAATATCCAATCATAGAGAGAGCTTCTTAGAGTAAGTGTTCTTAAATTATTTATTGGGTTTTCAATATCTGAATTTGCAAACTTGTTGATGTTATTATATAATAACTTTTGGCAATCATTTAAGATAAAATCACCAGCTTCTTCCATCATAAATGAATTAGGGCCATGGATAGATGAAAGACTATTATCATCTTTCATGAC